TACAAAGGCCTCTATCTACACATCTATTCCCATGTGAGAAGGAATGAATTGCTGCCGATAAATGAAGCCAGTGGTGTTATTTCTCACCAGACAAATACATTTACTGTAAATCCATTATTTATTATTTCCGGTCAGGCTGGTTGCGGCTGAGCTTATACAATGACACCATATTAAAGAGGTGTTTTGTGATTCTACAGGGAACTGGAGCACAGGTGTAGTGTTGATTGTTACTGGAATATCCCAACCCAGTCTCACGGCATTTCCTGCTATAGTCACGAAATGTAATCTATTGATTCGTGTTCACCAACACGATTTTCGCATTTTTTTAAAAAGCAATGTATTTCTATTGGTAGTATGTTTCGTGCCTGCACCAAATAATAACAAATTATTACAAAAGGAAAAAAAGATTTAAAAAAATACAGATTTCAGTATTCTGAGGCTCTGAGCCCCATTTATTTTCCTCACGGACGGCAAAAAAAGTCAGACATTATACAATTTAAAATAAAAACAATAATCGTGGCTTGATATTGAGTAAGAAAATGTTTTTATGAACCACAAAGCTTCCGGTCTTCCAAGACCCGACCGGACAAAAAGACGTGGCGCAGGCACGAAACATACTACCAATAGAAATACGTTGCTTTTAAAATCGTTCTGTGTGACACGCAAAAAATGGGAAAATCGTGTTGGTGAACACGAATCAATAGATAAATGTATTTTGTGACTATAACACGAAATGCCGTGAGACTGAATATCCACACAATTAAACCTTGAAATACAATAAAAACGCCTAAGATAACATATGTGGTATTAAGTAAATACATACCATTTTGGTCAAAATGTCTCTTTGTTTAATCCACTCTATAAATGTTTCATTTTCCTTCTCTTTCTTTTGTCCTGTATGGGTGAAATGTAATTTGCATTTTCCAAATTCTGTTTTTCTAATTACTTCAAAAACACACGTCTCGTAAAAGAACACATGTAAAAAATGTGGGTGTCCAGGTTAGAGAAGGACAACATACATTATTTAGGTCTTAGGGAACGTAAAGTGGGAAACTGTTAATAATTATCCTTTTTTTTCACACTTCCCCTTCAAATGAATCAAACATAATATCAAGTTACACAAAATGCACACCTGTGTGGACAAAGGAAAGCTTTGGTGGCTCGACTGATGGTGGTGTGCATGTGTGTGTGTGTGTGTGTGAGAGAGTGAGATAGAGAGAGCGAGGGGAAAGGGGGAGAGAGCAAAACAGAGTTGTTTGCAGTGCGGGATGAAGGGAGGTGTACCCTCTTAAATCAATAAAGGTCGGTCAGGAAACTACTCAGAGAAAAATGCAGATTTGTGCATGCAGACGCCAGCAAAACTTTTCTCCAACCAGTTTTCAAACCAGATGCTTTTCTGAAAAGGAGTAAAAGCGTGACAACTAATTTAAAGGTGAGTAAGACAACAGTGATGTGGGGAGTGACTTCTGCGTGAGAAGTTAAATTATTTTTTTTATTTCTGTGTATTCAAACACTAACCACCATAGCCTCAACATTTGAACTAATGTGTCTGAATCGCATTTCTTCAGCAACAACAAAATCATTGTGTGGGAGAATCGACGTATGAATGTCCTGCTCTATTAGTATATGTTTTTCTAAGCTAGATATAGCCTATGTTTTATCACTTTTTTATCTCTAGATAAGTGTTCCATTAAAACTGCATACCATCCTTATCAGCTTGTCTCATAAGGATGAATAAGGCTTTAAAGGAAAGTTCCAGATTTTAAATCAGTGTAATTCAGCACAGTGTGGGTACCATATGATCCTGAAATGTATTTACCAAATTATCTATCAAAGTAAAGAATCTTTGAAATATCACTAGTAAAAAGCTTTACAGGTTTCAAATGTTGTCCTAGAATTATTACATGTCACATGAGAGCACCAACATTTCAGACTACAACAAATGAGCTCGTCGATCCCCTTCACTTTGTGTTTCTTTTCAAGAAACTGAAATCTGGCCCTGACACGATAAACAAAAGACAGAATGTGTGTTTTTGTGAACAATGTCAGGTGAACAAGTAGGTACACTAGGCAAGAATGAAGATGTTCAGTACAACTTGGCTATTATTATATGGGCTGGAATATTGAGTTTAACTTCATAGAGACATTTTAGTATGTATACTTACTTTACAAAAGTGAATATTATATTCATCTTGATAAGGAGTTATGTCTTTGATCTGAATCCATGATACATAATGATTTGCTTTCAAGTCATCCTGTAAAAGAAGCTACTTAAAACATAAAGTATAATATGCTTAAGGTAGGTAAACTTAAAAAATCATATATCTCCTTAAGTTAGATCAACTTAATAACCCGTTTAGCTGTAAGAGATTTTTTTTTTTTTTTAAATTGGACTAGAGCTGGTTCTATGTTCATGTTGCTAAAATTCTTCCAGAAACTGTTTCAAAGGATCTCTGCTTAAGTTTCAGAGACATTTTAGCATAATATAGTTGCTGCATTTTTTAACGTCAATGACAAATACAATGGTTTCAACATGTTCCTAAGATGCTGTTAGAGAATACGTATTACAGTGTAATCGTTTTAGCTCCCCTTCTCTCAGTTGGCCTGCATTGTATTACATTGTGAATCTAAACAAATAGCTCTAGCCCTCAGTAGATTAGATTTGTTAATATGTAACCCATCTGGACTATAAACCGTTAAGGAAGTCAGCAGCGTATTTAGTTCTCCTTCAGTTTAACAATCGCCCAGTTTAAAACGAAAACAAATATTTTAGCAAAAGGGGATTTCAGAAAGAAAGAAAGAAAGAAAGAGGAACAAATTAATATAATCCGTTTTAACTTTGAACTGTTTTTGAATATCATGCTGTGATTACTGATGGCAAAATGAAAAAAATTGACAGCTTGACCTCATAGAACATTTAAAAAAAATGGGCACACTTTGCATGCAACCTTTTGGTACCAAACTGATATCCAAGTTAAACTAGGGCTGTGCGATTATGGCAAAAATCATAATCTCGATTATTTTGGTCAATAATTGATATCACGATTATTAAAAACAATTATCCATTTACTTTGAAAACATCCATATATTGAAAAACAAAATGTGAACAGTATGTTTTTAACAGTTGATTACCCTGAACTTTAAGTATAATTCAACTGAAAAACCAATAAAAAAAAATAAAAAATAACGTTTTTTTTTTTTTTTTTAATAAAAAATAATAATCGTTTTATTTCGATTACATTGTTTTCGTAATCGTTGCAAGCCAAAATCGTAATCGAGATTAAAATACGATTAATTGCACAGCCCTAAGTTAAACTATATCGACTTTAACTAAGCTCAGTCAAGTCAAACCACAACATGAGGGCTTACTCTAGATTTAATACAAGGTTAGAGTCTCTGTATGTCTTGGCAACCCTATGGCAACCATAATATCATCAAGGTTATGTGAGGTTATTGGCTGAAAGAGACCTTGTGTGGAGAAGGTTCAGAGGTAATTTGCTTCAAAGTGAGCCTAGCTCTATCAATGTATCTATACATCTATTGATTTCCCTACCAACACCCTATACATCTATCCACTAATCTATTTTCGCATTTGCTGTATACTTTTTAACAATTTAGTCTAGAGTCCATAGACCAAATTTTATGAGAGGAAAAGTTAGGAGTCATCTTAAGGGTTCAAAGTGCAGGTCAAGCAACACAATCAGCTGCTGTTTCTAACAATGTCTCTCTCTCTTTAGCCAACCTCGGATTTTTTTCTCACACTACAAATATTTTTTCCCTCAGTTGCCTATGCTCAGTGTCCCATAACAGTCACAGAGACTTAATTACTAGGAGCACTGAGCTGATGACCAAAGTGGTCATTGACTGAAACCTTAAAAAGGAAATGTAACACCGCTTTCACATATGGAATAAATGTGCCGTTTTTTTTCTATTGTTTGAATAGTCCAGGTATGTTGCTCCTCTGGCAACAACCCAATCAAACAAACCGGTTCACTATTACAGCCAAGGACATTTTGTCCTGACAATAGGTGTATCTAAAAAAATGCCAATTTACTAATACAACATAGTAAAATGCTTTTCCGTCATGCGTAATTCCATTTTCAAGTAACCTTTGATTCTGCTTAGATAAAAGGCATATTCCAATATATTTTTAAGACTTTAAAGTTTAGACAATGGCAATATGTTAATCTGTTTGTTCCGGACTAACATATTACAGAAAGCCTTCATGGATTATCATAAATTGTCATTCATTGTTCCAAGAGGATGTTTGCTAATGAGTTTGTTGATGCTCTGACTTGTAAAGCTGTGCCACAATGAGGTTGACATTTTAGTTAATTTATTAAATGCCTTGACAGCTATCAGATGGATTGCCATACAGTCAAATTAAGTACAGCTGGTTATTTGACTCACAAATACCTGCTAACTCCTCAGTGTGTTACCATTGTCATTGTGAACATTCTTCATGCTCAAACCTCATTTACCTCAAAGCACTTATGTGCCTAAGTACAGCCTCAAAGGCATGCACTTGTTTCAAGACATTGAATGTGTTTGTCATATTCCTGTTCTGCTCATGCTAACGTATGAGTCACAATTTGATGTCAGGAACTCCTCACCGACACCAACTGACTCATTAGACTGTCAAAACAACAGGTGAAAAGAGTTTACACACCTCCGCCTCAGGGCATGTTACTGCACACACACCACACCACGATTAACATAATGTTGAGTCTGGGTTTGTGTGTTTGCATACGGGAGGCAATGTGTCACGTGCACTTATTTGTATCTAAGCAGATGCATTTGTTGCTATGTTTGGGTAGCATTTGAGAGGCAAAGAGGTACTTGAGGAGAGCTAGGGAGTTAAAGACACTAAAGGGGGCAACAAAAAAAGATTGTGTGCTTTATGTCCAGAGGGCTTAAAATGTTTGGGGTGGGAGGATGTGTGGGAGGAGGGACAGTGACCGAGAGAGGAGGGTTTAAGTTTCAGGTTACCTGAAATACTTTTGTTTTGTCAGCAGTGCTTGGTCATTCAAATACAGCTCTCTCTGAATTTGCGTAGCGTCAAAAAAAACAACTCTATACAACCAGTATCTTGTATTACTGCCGTGGGGTTTCAAAGAGGGGCAAGTCAGGCACCCTTCATACCAGATTCAGTTACACTGCTGTAGAAAGAAAAAGGGGAGGGAAAGAGAGAGAGAGATACCGAATCAAACCAGGTGTTGTAGTTTAAGCAAGTGGAGCAGGAGGGTGAGAGGAAGAAGACGAAGGACATCCAGGGGACAGTGAGTTACTGGAGAGTCCCACCTCCAGGGAGGGTCGTGTTTACTCTGTGCTTCGTGTTGGATGAGGTGCTTCTAGGCCTTACCAAAGAAGACGCTACAACATGTGGGTGAGTGCAACTTGGTAGAATCAACGTTTTCATTGTAAAGATGGAAGATCAGCTCGCTGCTTTGCGTTGGGGGCGCAATTCGATTATTGTTACCGTTGCATATCCTGGTCTCAAGTTTGCTATCATACTGAGATACAAAGACATGTTGTGATACTAAAGGTAGTCTGTGTTTGCTTACTGAACCAGTTTCTGTAGCACTGGCTCAAACAGCAGCAATGTTTTTGCATGTCAGCCATACTATCTGCCACTAAACAGGAGAACAATCAGCACATACAGTTGGCTGTAGTTGATATGTTAAGCATATGCTATCTTATGCTTTATATACGGTTTCTTATCACTGACATGTTATCAGTGGTAGTTCCTGGTGGCTATGGAACATGTTTCCTAATATTTATACGGCTCATTGTATGTATTTATGCTGTTTTTAGTTCATTTTAATTGTAAATCAAACAACATAACATTTCTGCAGAATGTATCTGTACTCCCTACCCACCTCGGTATAAGAATGAGCAATGTGTGTGGAGTTAGTTGTGGGTTAGTGAGTAGAGCCTACTCAAAGCGATCTATAGTGTGCATTTCTGCCCTTATAAAAGGTAGATGGCCAAGATATCCAAACATGTGTGGCCTGCACTGGTCTAGATCTTTGTCTTTGATTAAAGCTTGTCTAGCATGTCACGCGTAGCTTCTCAAAAGGCCTTTTGTGAACATTTCAGTTTAGAGGAACATAATCCAACAAAGAAGCAAGGGGAACACCTCGTTGGAACAAAAGGTTTACCATCTCAAGGCTTTTACCTGTCAGGGCTGGCTGACCCAGTTATACTTTTTCAGGTTTGGTTCCGAACGCCGGGTTTACTGGCTATGTGTTAACCTGACAAACAGAAACAAAATCAGGCTTATCAGATTAGCTCGTACTGCAGAAGTATGAGACACGAGATGTGGTAGTGCTTCACTAACTGATTATTTGAAGATATTACCCCCATCATAAAATGGTAAATGTTAGTCATGGTACAAAAGACAACTTCCCAGAAGACACTATTAATATATCATGTGTCATGGTGTGACAAAACAGAACTTATTTTTTCTGGTACTGTATGTGTTTGTCCACTCTCGGTAAGATTACCTTATTTCTGGTTTTACAGGTACGCAGACCTCCCACTTTTTTTGTATGTGTCATTTATCTCGAACAATTTGTTCATGTAGAGAGATTGTTGTGGTGCTATTGTGCATGTTTTTCAACTAAGATATGTTTAGGCTCCTAAACTGTACTGTATGGCATGTATTGTAAGGTGAAAACTGCACTTAACTTACAAAAGGAGTCTTTAACCTATTGGGAATTTGAAAAGAGATGGTATCTGAGAATCACTTTACACCCCTTTACATAAAGTGACATGTATATTGTTACAGACAAATATATGAAACACAACATTTTTGTATTACTATAAGTGAGTTTAGTATGTTAGATAATAAAGTTTAGTATGTTAGATAATAAAGTGCTGCAGGGCTAAATGTACAAGTGAAACATTTTCTTGTTTCCAGAGAGTGATGAGATGCCAAAACATGTAGAGCAGGGGTGTCAAACTCAAGTGTCAAATCCGGCCCGCGACTTCATTTTATGTGGCCCCACAAGAGCTTGCAAAGAATGTAATATGTTTATTATACGGTTACATGCTACTTTACAGAAGCACGTTGCCCATAAACGACATGTCCCACAATGCATCTCAAATGTGACTTTTTCTCAGAATTTGACTTTTTTTCTTCAACATATGCATTTTTTCTCAGAATTTGACTTTTTTTGTCAAAATATGCCTTTTTTCTTAGAATTAGCTTTTTTCTCAAAAATTACTTTCTATTTTTTTTATTTCACTTCTCTTTTTCAAAATGTCACTTCTTTTTTTTTGTTTTTCCAGAATGTGGCTTTTCTTTTAAAATCATATTGTGACATTCTTACTGAAGAGACTTGCAATTATTTGCCCTAGACTTCTGCTTTCAGACGTAGTTAATTATGAAGTTATTCCGATAATAATCCAATGCAGAGGCAATAATGTAATATAATACATTATTTTATATATATTCAATATTTATATATGTATTTTTATATAGTCTTAAAGTTACAACCGGCCCTTTGAGTGCAACCATAATGCTGATGTGGCCCGTGATGAAATTGAGTTTGACACCCCTGATGTAGAGTAAAGAACAAAGTGTCTGGGTCTTTTTCATACTGTATGCAGCTTTCCTGCTATGAAACCAAATCATTTAGTGGGAATGCTGATACAGCATTCCAACTATCTGTTATGCTACGCACAAAATTCTTTATTATTCCGCCGGGTTATTTTGCACCTCTTCTTCTCCCACATTCCACATCGCAGAAACTCCGTTCAAACATCAAAACGTTCAGCTCGGTCGGGAATCGATGGCTATTACTTTTCTTATTCATAACTTTCATAATTCCAGAGATACATCCCATAATTCATCACATTTTTTACATGGAAGTCACGTTTTCTCCACATGATTTTCTAATCATAAATCTATCGATCATAAATCTATCGATTAGATTTATGATTAGAAAATTATAACAGTAGGGTAGACATGTGGAGATTATCCGGCTGAACAAAACGTGATCCGTCTCTTAAATGTGTGTCAAACACAGACCTTATTTCGAGCTATTTTCCAAAATCCTATGGAGAAATTGCATTGCATTTTTGTCGAAGGAACCGGAAGAAGTTTACTTCCGGGTTTTAGGACGTGTCACTGCGGTTCTCTATGGAGAAACTCTTCAGACTTGAACAATCTTCATGCAACTTCAACTGCTAACTGCTCCTTCATAATTTCACTCAGAAACCTCATTCCAACTTTAAAATGTTACACATCTTTCTGACATTATTCGTGTAACACAACTTTTCAATCTGATTCATACTTTTAGAGATATTAAACATTGTTCATAGCTTGGTAAAGAGGGCTTCTTCAGATTTTAGAGTGCGTGATGTCACAGCTAGAGTGGAGGACAGATTTAATTTTGCCTTCATATTTTCTTTTAAACCTGCCATAATTCCCAAACCCTACATTCCTGAGACATAATTTTTCATGAGAAACGTAGGAAAACATCTCGTAGCTTGAAAAACTAAAAAACATTAAGCAAAATAATTAAACAAAATGCCTCTTGAGGGCATGAAGTGACAAAAACTTTCAACATGTCTCCATTAAACCCCATTGTAAGTTCAGCCTCATCTTTCCCCACCACAGCAGCCGCAAACCTTTAGTTAATCTGCCAAAAAGGCCACATTATTAACCCGAAAGTACACAAAAAGTACACTTCAGATGCTCAAGTTCCTTGACATGCTTCACGCTTTGAAATTTCACCGATATCTGTTACAGTTCTTCAACAAAACGTTCACATGTAAGAGGTTTATCTCTCATTCAGAACAATGAAAATGCTCTCCTCTCACTGATTACTGCACATCACCATGGAAACCTTTGATCTCTGGACAGGTCGCTAGCTCAAATATAAACACCTGTGTCATGGAACACGATGATGTCATAACTCCAACTGACATGCTCAGGGGCCTCATTTATAAAGGGATATACGCTCAAAAAATGGCGTACGCCAGTTTCTACGCAATGTTTGCGATTTATAAAATACTAACTTGACGGGAAAATGTGCGGTCCTCCACGCAAACTCTAACCCATGCGTACGCACTAAGCACAACAACGGGAGAGACGAGAAACTGCGACACCGTTGGCAGAAGGAAGAATGGAGAGAAATATGTGGAAATAATACCATAAATAAAATGTTACCTCTCATTTATCATAATGAAGAATTCATTTTCAAACATTGATTAAAGCCAATCTTAAAATGATTAAACAAACGCCTGTTTGAGACTCCTCAGTGCACACAAAAACATAACTTGGAGAAATAAATAAATACGGATATGTTATTTAAACCACCTCGAATATGTTGTGTTAATGTTATGAAATGTTTTCTCATAAATGATGCGGTAAGCAGGAGGACAGAATTACGTCTAAACTGACGCCGTTTTGCATTTCTATAGGTTGTAGATACGAGCATGGTTTTATATCCTATCACGTTTAATCGTGTTTTATGCCGTTTGCCAAGACTTGTAAGTCGCTCGTAAAACACAGGAGGTATGGAAACTAAGAACACCATATGTGGTAAATTGTACAGCTAATATAACACAATACATTAGTTGTATTTCCTTTAACTGGTGGATTATGGATATATAGTTGCTGATCGAAAGCTGGAACACAAACCACCAAATACAACAAAATAATTCAGATCCAGTCGTCATGACTCCACTCCGGAGGGATTCCCCGATCATTTCTTAGAGTTTCTCATCAAGGGGGTGTCTCCTGTCCCCGGTACAAACACACTGCCTGAGGAAGGTTATGTGTATTTTTTTTGTCATTAACCTTTTTCGGACCACTTATTTATTTATTTTGGTGACGATCCGACCTCCATGCTGCTACTCTGGCTCAAACTGCATCCACCAAACAATATGATTTATCTCGACCTCCCCAAAATAACCTAAATCTGACACGGTGTGAGATGTCTTTTTTAGCTGTTCTGTCGTCATTTCCTGCGATCTTCTTCATGCAGTCAGTCACAATGAATGAATGAATGGGCGTTTCTTTGACTATGTGTGGGCAAATATGGGTGTGATGGGAAGCCAGCAAAAGCTGCGCCGCATTTCGAGTCGATTGTGATTTATAAAGGGAAACAGGCGTAGGAAGTGCAGTACGCACTTCCCTCACCGGTACGCAATGTTTTGTGAATCGGAAAATGTCGAAAAATTTCTGTACCTATTTTTTTGCTTTGTACTACGTAAGCAACCTTCCCACGTGAATCCTACGCAAGGCGCTATAAATGAGGCCCCAGAGCAGCAGACTTCAGATAATGGTTAATGGTCCTGCCCTCAACAGCTCTACGTCAATTATGGGGTGTCATCATATGCCGTTTCCATGGAAACGCATCCCTCGCCATAAAACACGATGTCGCTGTAACTCCAATGGACACGGTCCGATCGTCCCCCAAACTTCGCTTGTATATCACCGGTCCATGCCTCAACAGCTTTACGCCAAATCTGAGATCTCACCATAGGCTGTTGCCATGGAAACGCATCCCTCGCCATAAAACACGATGTTGTCGTAACGCCTATGAAAAGGGTCAAAACAACACCAGACTTCAGATAATGGTTAACGGTCCAGCCCTCAACAGCTCTACGTCAATTATGGGGTGTCATCATATGCCGTTTCCATGGAAACGCATCCCTCGCCATAAAAGACGATGTCGCTATAACTCCTATGAAAATGTTCAAAAAGTGCTCAAACTTCACATGTGTGCTAACAGTCCAGCCGTGAAGACATCTACGGGACAGTTTTGAGATTTCTTCAAAGGCCGTTGCCATGGCAACGCAATGCTCACCATGAAACACGGTTTTCTCATGACTTCAGTGAAAATGCTCCAAACGGCCCAAAACTTCACAGGTTTGGTAACGATGCAGCCATCAACGCATCTAAGCGTATTATGGGATGTCATCAAATGCCGTTGGCATGGCGACAGATCATTCGCCATCAAGTTAGTTCAAATATTCTGCTGCTTTTCCAAGCCTTTTTACTTTCTTTTCTTCTCTCATCACACATTCAAGCCCCCAGTGTTCATGTATCATTTCAATCTAAATTCTTCACTTTCTTCTTACACATTACATTTCAGCATAGCAGTTTATAGTCAGCTTTTCAGCATAAAGCATTCCCACTAGCAATTTCTTCAGGAATTGCATTCTCTAGTTTGAATTACTGTCTTATACGAGAGTGTCTCAGGAAGTTTCTCAGCCAAACTGTTAAAGCCAGCACAGCTGATTAAAGCAGGATAAAGTAAGCTGCCCTCCAAACATTTAAAAAAAACAATGCCCAACGACATTCTTAGGCCATGTCTTATGGTGGCTATACAATACCGTGGCTTGATTGTCATCTGACAAGAGTTGACTGTGGATGTGAAACAGTTATTTGTTATCAGAGATAAGCTTTAAATGCCTGTTTTGCCACACATTTGAATTTTTTTAATGTAAATAAAGTATCAAGTGTTGTAATGATATCAGATCAGACTATGCAATGATCGGGGCCACCAAAAAAAATTCATGATGAAATATTAAAAATATCATCTAATAATCCACCTTTAAATTAGTTTACTGTGCTTTCGTCTCCTTATTAGCAGATTATTTACAAGCGCAACAACTACATTTATAGATATTGTATGCGTGTGTAGGGGGCATGGAGAAATCAACAAACTGATTTAAGCGGCACTGGATTACTAAGCAACAATAAGTGTATTTAAACAAGATACAAAATACATTTTTTTTATAATCATGGTTACTATAAAACAGTATAAAGGGCCTGGTGTTAAAACAAAATGCAGATGAGGGATTTTACCTCAAACTTAAAAGCAGAAGTGAAAACTAAGTAACAGTATTAAACAATGTTCCCTGTTAGCTGCTTTGCTTAGCTTTATGTTTCTGGCATTTCCTCGTTGAGTCATAGGTTCTGCATTCGATTTCAAACAAGTATCAACAGACATAAAATACATTCTACATATGTTTGTCATTCAGACAAGGAATGAAAAGCTGTGAGGACAGGACAAAGCAGTAGAACAAAAAGTGCTCATCAAACCGTCAGTACATACCATCTATTGAAATCATTCAGGCCAGCGCGGCTCTGATTCAGGCCAATCATAATAATAATAATACAATGTCAATGTTGTGTTCAAAAGCTAAACGCTGCCCCAAGTGGCCAAAATAATAGGTAATTGCGGGTTACACCCATAGACTGGTTACACCTAACTCCAGAGGTGGAAGAAGTACTCATATCTTGTACTTAAGTATAAGTAGAAATACCAAATTGTAGGAATACTCTTTTACAAGTAAAATAACTGTATGCAAAATGTACAGGTAAAATGTAGGTACACTATTGGCAGAGCTTCATCATATCAGAATCATATAATATGTTTTGGTTATATTATTGATGTATTGATGTGTTTATCTAAGCTGGTTAAAGTGAAACTATTTTTATATTACTTTGTTTACTGCTGGGTAGAATGTGAATTTAATCCAGGTGTGTCTATGGTCTTTTTTGTAGGTCTTTTTTTAAGGCCTACAGTAGCCTACTTGAGTAAATTTATTTATTTATTTAATCGTTTATTTGGCAGGGACAATGCACAGTAATGAACACTTAAAACATTAAAATGTGTCCAGATTTAGCTTTGAGCTAGTTTCCATCCGCAGTCCCTCACATTTAAGAAAATTACATTTTACAAACATGGTAAAAACAAAATACATGATATGCAAAAAGTGCAAAAGAGCAAGAGCATCATACACAGGTATTTACCACATGGCAGTACAATATAGCAGCAACGACATATAAAGTGCAAGAAAAGATAAAAGTGCTACATAAAGTGCAAGAGGAGATACCCCTGTGTTAAAGTGCAGCGGTGATTGCACGTCTGTTTGTCTCTTAAATGTACTTAGTTACTTTACAGCACTGCCTAACTCCAAAGTAAAAATGCCCACAACAAGACACCATCTGCGTGTCCTGTAGAAACTACAAACAAAAGAGATAACAACACATGGTGGTTTAACATTCTTCCTGTGTGCGGGAGATACATACTAACTACGCCAACAATAAACACTTAAAACTAGCTTAACGATAGCCCCGTTGACTGCAAGCAAGCAGCAGTGACGCCTCTGAGTTCAAACATCCCCCAACTAAAACAGGTGAGTAGATCTACCTGTGGTTAATTAAAGCAAACATGCTAACAAGTCACAACATTCAAATGTGAAAACGACTTACCGAGATTCGCATATTTTCAACAAAACGACCACCAAAGTTTCGCCGAATTTACACCCCGGACAGCCGCATGGAGATTTACATTGGTAGGCTACTAGCAAATGTGACGGCCGTCGGCCGGAATTACAATTCCGACGTTAGCCTAGCCCCCGAACGCTTCATGAAAGCGTTACTGGAGTACTAGCCTACTTTAATTTAATTTAAATTACCATAAGCAAAGAGTTTGGAGGTTTGAATCAACTTAAACTGAGATTCAAGCACACCGCCATGAATTAATCTAACAAGGTGTATGTTCTCATTAATCATCATTAACTAACTAAAAAAAAACTAAAAATGTTCTAGTCAACTAATATGAGAAGGGGAAATCACTCCATTGCTCAAAGTGTTGCCTACATTCGTTTGAAAGGGTCAAACACAGAAAAGTGTGGGGAACATAGCTTTGAAGGATCCTACCTCATCTACCTGTTGTCTATTGGGACATAACTACTGTCATTCATTGTGTCATTTTCCTACACACAGTGCACATGATGCAATTGTGCAACAGGGTTACAGCTGATCCTTCTGGAGGATACCTGAGTAACATCACTCAGTATCCTCCAGAAGATTACCGTGTGTTCTGTCACCACAATATCAGTTGCATTTGAATGGAAGACTTGCATGTCCCAATCATAGACCCTGCTATACTACACCCAACAGTACTGTACTTCCAAAATCTATCCTTTTCATGGTGGGATTGAGGAGTCTGTCCTTTAACAGGTTATGGGAACCACCTGCAGCTCACATTGCATGAATGCACATGGGTGTAATGTGTGAACTCATAATGGCACACCATGTTCCATGTGTGTACAATCTGTAATCCTTGTGGGGCTCCTCCCAAGGATATGTATTGTATTTGACATCTGTTGTATACATGGCTTAAGTTTTCTGTGTTATTGTTATGGATGAATATATAATAATAATGTATGTAATAATGCAAGCACTTTGAATTGTCGCGTGCAGAAAAGTGCTAAAAATAAACTTGCCTTGCCTATTGCATCCTTTTATCACGATCACCTGGAAATAATCACAAAGGTCTTATGCAGTCAGATCATAAACGCTTAGATATTTACATGAATACACAAAAATCATGCAAATCTACACCTAAAAACAAACAGTATCGTCTCTGAAGCCAAGCGCACTGTTGTTTTGACACCTGTGCTCACCTTGCCTTATGTACGTCAATGTTTTCACAGCCTGCCCAGGTGCCTGAGGACAGCAGTAGACCGTTGAATCCCACACAGCCAGGTAAGCTGTCAGTTGGTATTGGTTTAATGTTTATTTGTGTATGCGTTATGAATACCATGTTAAATACTGGAAACTGTAATGTTATGAATACTGTGTGCATCACTGTTAGTGCGAACTTATATTTTCTCTTTGATTCATTAACTGTACTCTAGTTCTCTCTCTCTCTCAACTGCATGCAACATATTGTCTCTCTCTATATGTTTATTTCTCCCTTGCTATGTTTTTTTTTTTTTTTTCCCAGTGGTTCCCCGGCCAGGCCGCCACAGAAGGCCCATGACGGCTCCAAAGACTCCGAAGGAGAAGGCGTCTAAGAAGAAAAGAATAATTCTGACTGTCCTGGTAGTTGTGGTTTTACTGGGCATACTGGTCACTGCAGCATACTTTAGTGAGTCACACATCATGGACATGATTTCTTACTCTAACACAGTTGACGGGATTCAGTTGTTTTCATTGTTCTTAAATCATCCAAGCAAAATGATGTCTAACCTGTGCTACACCCTTCTTTTCCAATGTGCCTCTCCTTTTTCCTTTAGTTAAGCAGCTGATTGACAGCAAATATTTCTTCTGCAAGAGGTCCGTGAAGTTTATCCCGATAGACAAGGCCTGTGACGGGAATAATGACTGTTCTGGAGGAGAGGATGAATTGACATGTCTGTCAAGCTTTAAAGTCAACACTACCTTTCCAGGTAAAACAAACACCTTGCTCCCTTTTTCAACACAGACAGACACAAAAACAAAGCTTAGAAAAGATGTCTCTTCTTTTCTTACTTTGTGGGCTATTCCTCCCTCCAGTGCGGCTCATGACAGCACGGCAGCTCCTGCAGGTCTACAGTCCTGGCCCAGGTTGGAGGAGTGTGTGTAGCGACGACTGGGCCGAGCAACACACACAGACAGCATGTAAACAACTTGGATACACATAGTGAGTTTACACATGAATATACACTATATATACTGTATATATGATTTATACCAATGCAGAGTTTTTGTTGCAGACTATGTTATTTGACCTGAAATCCAGTCTTACATTGTCCCCCTTTTGTCTTTACAGTAAACCTAAAAGCACAAGTGTCAAAGTGGACACATTGTTGCCAACTCTGAAAACTGGACCATTCACAGCTATCAGGCCCGGGACTACAAAAACACCCATTCATCAGGCTACTATAGACCGGTGAGAAGGACATCTGTCATTAAACAGGAATTTGATCAGGAGTTACTGTGTGTTATTGCTTTTTAAATCATTTTATGACAAAATGCAGCTGTTGTTGATAGAGAACTGATTCCCATCTGAACTATAAGTGACCAAAAGAGAAAGCACATTATTCCCTCCTCTTCCCCCTCTTTTTCTGTTCCTGTCTTTGTCTGCTATAACAATGTCCAGTGTTTTTGTTTTTTCCTTCAGCTTTTGACCTTTGCTCTCCCCATCTTGTCTCTTGCACACATTAGTTGTTATCTTTTCTCACAGTTTCTGTTCCTAAAAGATAAACAAATCCAGTTTTTGTTCCCTCTTTGGCTTAAACCTTATGAAAGTCACCACAAAAAGTCTCGTAGTTCACTCCAATAAAGCAGAAGAGAAACAGACAAAGTTCAGCATGATGGTTAATTAAGGTCAACATTTGATTATGTATTTTGTTTGTTGGACTTATTGTGCAGACATTTGTTTTTCATGTGCAACTCTAAATACTTGATTAATTACTTTTTCCCTTTACAGCAGTGTATGCAAATCCGGCTCTGTGGTTTCTTTGTCCTGTTCAGGTGAGTCTTATTTTTAGAAAATCTACCATCGTCACTAACATTGTTTACAGTTTGTTTTAAGAAGGCAGAGTATGTCTCATTGCTGGTGGCTGGAAATCACATGGCTGTGGGAGCAGTTTGGCTCAACAGGCCTATACATGTCTAGACGGCAAAACTCTTTCCTAGCAACATATCACTGTTTTTTATTCTTTGCAACAAAAAAAGGTTGTGAAATAATAAGAAACTAGTCTAACCTGACCTTGACAGTTTGAATAATAGGATCTAGATGGATTAACCAACAAAGGCATACAATAAAAGTTACATTAGAATGGACTACAGTGAAGAAAACATTCTTAAATTAACAAGACAACTTTGTTTATCAGATTGTGGAGAGGTGGGCTTTCAGGACCGTGTTGTCGGGGGTTCAGATGCTTTCATTGAGGACTGGCCCTGGCAGGTTAGCTTGCAGCAGGGAGGCCAACACACATGTGGAGGCTCACTGGTGTCCCCACGTTGGGTTATCACTGCTGCCCATTGCTTCAGTGGGTCAGTATGAGTTCCACATTTCCAATGAATTTCCTTTGTGGTTAATATGTCATACATAAACTTATACTCACACTTTCTCCTTGTGTTTTTTTTTGGGCCCTGCAGCAGTAAAAAAGAGCTGAGTCGCTGGAGAGTGGTGTCAGGCCGGACATACATAGGCACACTAGGAGGTTCCTATGTGGACAGAATCATATTAAATGCAAACTACGATCCAGCACGAAACGACTACGACATTGCAATGATGAGACTCAGCAGCCCGATATCAGTGGGAGGTTAGAGTTGAATTAAATACTTAAAAAAATATGGATTTGATTATGTATTGCTATATTGGTTAAGTGACCTTGTAAAGTCTGTAGCTATTCCAAATTGCCCTCTAGTGATGTACATTTCAAGCTCTCCACCTTACAGTAGATCAAATTCAGCCATTGTTATCAACACTTTAACTGTACTTTTTAATTCGCCAAAGCTACATGTATGACAGGAACAAACAGTAACAAACCTTAAGGCATACATTTGAATGCATTCCCCCTGTTTTTCAGTGAGCCGCAAACCGGTTTGTCTACCTCCTAAAGCCTTTAGCCTTCCTCCCGAATCCTCCATGTCTGTGACTGGCTGGGGATACCTGGAGGAAAAGGGTGAGAAACCTACTCACTACCTCTCATCATTATCAACCGCCACTCTGTGAACAAGAACTTCTCTTATCTTTAGCTAAAACCCAAATGTTGCATCGTATTCTCCCTTTAGGTAAGGTTTCTCCTACACTTCAGAAGGCCTCTATCCCTCTGATAGGGCGGCCGACGTGTGCCAGCCCCACAGTGTATGGGAGTTCAATAACCAAAAGAATGATCTGTGCTGGTTTCCTGAATGGGGGAGTGGATGCCTGCCAGGTAACGGACCACTGATTCAAGTCAGAAACGATAACGCTTAAGAATTTAAAACACAAATAAGAATATTTTGAGTTATACTTCTATAGTTTTGTACATGTTGTAGTTTAAAGAATGGTCCAATATTGACGTTCTCTACTGGCAAATTGTTTGGATATTCAGAGATGAGATAACATTTTATTGTGCTGTAATGACTCCCAGGGGGACAGTGGGGGTCCTTTGGTGTATTTCACCTCCTCTCAATGGCATCTGGTTGGAGTGGTGAGCTGGGGGGTCGGCTGTGCACGGGAGAGAAAACCAGGTGTCTACTCCAACGTCGAAGAAATGCTAAACTGGATTCGAACAGTAGTTGAGGTAAAGAATATACGTTTCTGTGTTAGTCAGGTCAACTTAACTTTCTAAAATATAGGAAGTGCAATACATACAAAGCCTGCCCTAATGATTTTTACTTTCTTCCTCTAGAAAAACCCCTGAGGTGTTGAGCAAGACTCCAGTCAAGTCTGCCTTGGACAGCCTGTGAAACTCAAAGAAAGTTTTTGTTTCAATATGGATGACTAAAGAGGGTAGAAAGAAGGAAAGAAAGTCAAAGATCATAGCAACACAAAATAACTGTTAAACACAGCCAAATGCAAAAACACTGCACAGACACACACACACACACACACACACACACACACACACACACACACACACATGGTTTCACACAAAATGTATTGCAGGTGTTTGTGCCATTTCAGGTTCTTATCTCAGGGGAAAAGTATATGTATGTTATGTGTTGCTGGCTAGTCTGAAATGTTTTTTTAAAATCAACAATGTAGTCATTTGACAGACCAAATTTACTGATTATGCGTTTTTAAATAAGGTTGGTATCAAATGTGAATATATTTGACCACTGGTTTTGACAAAAGGACTTAGCAATAACTGTTCAAACTCTTGTAATAGTGTAGAGTTTGGACCTCACCAGACTGGCAGACCTCAGACATAATGTACTTGATTACTATGTGCTATGATTTTCGTTTTGCTATGTGTTATGAGGGGTTTATACAATTAATGGCAATAGGTGACAGACAGGGTAAACCTGAGCCAAGTCCAGCAGAAGTCAGTGTGTCAGGTTATGTCACCAATATAAGTGATCACATTTATGGTGCTTATTCAGTTGATCTGATGGCTGTCCCTTAACGCACCTTTTTATAGCATTGACATGTGCTTGCATTCTTCTTACAGATTGTTTTACATGAGCACTTTAATTGGGAATTACTTGACTATGTATGCCCATATCATTTAATTGACTAATAATGCACTAAAGACTGTAACTCTAACCACACTGTTACGTATTCATGGTGCTGCCACACCGAGTTTCAAAGTGCAATCAGATATCCAGCATGCATTAAGAAAACTCACACCATGGCCAGATTTAGGTGGTGGCCACTGAGATGTATGCCTTTACAGCAAAAGGATATTGGTGTAAATTCATTAGAGCGAGCAATAGAGATACGTATGTAAATGTGTGCATTCAGGAAAAATAATTGTATTTCTATATTTTAAATCCATAATCGAGTTGTTGCAAAGCAAAAACAATGCATCTACCTTTTATTTTTGAAATATGTATCCTTTCTTGTGTGAGACATGCACACAAAATAGTATAAATTGGCACAGAATTTTAAAAGCAATAGTTTACATATTGTATTTTACTGTAGGATAGGAATAGCTTTTCTTGTAAGGTTTGGTGGTTGCCACAGTGGATAATAATATTTGACTGTATATATGGTTCTTTTTGTTGATTATTTTTTATACCTGTAAATAGGTTGTACATATAATAAAGACTTTCTTCTTCAACCTGGCATTCCGAAAGATTGCTTTATCACACAATTAACTTGATATTTTGTATGAACAAAATGTTTCTCATTTGAAGCCAGGAAAAGGCTAGTCACTGTGACCTTTTTACCTGTGCTGGACTATATATGGTGATCTGGTCAGCCGCCTATCACGCACTGAGATTTGTCACTAATTGTAAAGCACTTACACATCACTGTACACTGTATACCAAGGCAGGTTTGCCATCACTTACTGTACGGAGGCTCAGTCATTGGTACACGTTTATTTGTAAAGCTATGTTGGGTAAATTCCCGTATTACATCTGTTCACTGATAACACAGAGAGTTGCAAGCAGCTATTGTCTGAGATCGCATGATGTAGTATTGTTAGATGTGCCAAGAGCAAGGACTGTCTTAGGTAAGACAGCTTTTATGTGCGCAGCACCACTGGCTTGGAACAGTCTACAGCTACATTTGAAACTGAGTAATTTTATTCCTCTGCATGTTTTTACAGCAAGTCTAAACAAAAAGCTCATTGAAACTATGGGTATTTGTAAATGTTGATAAGTATGTAAATGTAGCTTGTAAATATGTTGTATGATGTCCTCTATTGTTTTATGTTACATGTGGAACCTATTTGCTGCAGGTCTCCCTTGAAAAAGAGATCTATGATCTCAAGGGACCAATCTGGTTAAATAAAGGTTTGAAATGAATATCACCTTATGCCTCGACTTTGTTAAGACGCCCCCTTGTGGAGAAAATATGTTATTTTTCGTGTTGGACAAGTTTCCACATGCTACTGATCCAACACGCTTCACTGTAAGTTTCTAGGCTGAACTCTCACATAACCAAATTGTATCGCTTGATAACCTATTTTAGAACGTTTTTTCTATGACTTCTATGATGAAAAAGACACACAACATAATTAATAAAAAAAGGAGGACAAGGTGATTATGTATGAAAAAACATTTATAATTTCCTGAATATCAGAGTACTACAAAGGCCTAATGGCAAAACCCAAGTGCAGAATATGCATAGCAAGTCTGGTCTGAAAGCCATCAACACATTTCCCCCTATAGCATTTAGCCTAGCTCTTTCACCAAAGCAGATTGATTGGATAGTTGTATCCTTGCAGTAGCTGTTCAATTCAATTATGAATGGTCAACGTTAGAAAGAATGAGTGCTGAGAACATTGAAACATGAACTTTAAAGTCCTTCAGAACAACTCTGTATCAGCTCACTTGATAATTAGCATGTAGAGATGAACAAGTGTACATATAAGATGCATTCATGGTTATCTCCGTGAACGACTGGGGCCTTTGAATGGGTCATCCTGTATAGAAAAAAAAGAAATGGAGAAGGAAAAAGGATTAAAACATTTGCCAAAATAAGATAATCAGATCAAATTAAGTACATTTTCAGTGTGTAAATACAACATGGATTTAGCTAGGCTTTTGCTAAGCATGTAACACAAAATTCATTCTTCATCATTACAAAACGCACCCCAGCACTCATGACACAGGCTACATAATCTTCTCTGATCTCTTCTTACCTCCTCATCATCACTGTCGTCAAATGCAACTCCTTTAGTTGACTGGCTCTGGCTCTGAGAGCTCAACTTGGTGAACGATGAAGACGATGATGCTGGTCTGTGGTGAGCAAGAGAAGAAGCCATGGTAAAATATGCGAGTCAAAAACACATCACACATTTTAAATATGAAGTTAGCGACAGAAGGTGAATGCAATATAAAAAGCTATGTGTCTGTACAGGTTTCTTAATGTATTCCACTGGCACATTGTAGATACCTTGGAGGAGGGCGGGTAGTTTTCATTACAGGAATATCCTCATCGGAGTCCTCGATGGTCATCTAGAGAAGGATACAAATGAGAAGTCAAGTTGGAGGATGATGCAGTTGACATACTGTATGAGTGTGTGTAACTAGGGATTCATTTACTTCATCTGCATAGGATTTGTTGGCTCCAGGTCGAGATGATCTTTGGGATGGAGATTGAAATGCTGAAAAATAAGAAGAAGAGAGACACGTTGAAGTCCAGGAAGGAATTGAAAGATGAGGAATGGGTTACAGAAGAAAACTGATTTATAGTTTTTTTTACCAAAAGTATAGAAGATTCCTGTGATGCCTAGTTTTGGCATATCAGTGTTGTTTACAGAATATTAACTTGTGTTTCTATAGATCATCACACTCACACACACACATCTCACACTCCCCTACCTTGCATAATACTCCTGCTTTGGGTTGCTGCTGAAGATTTCTGGGCACGGCCCCGACCAGCTGGCTTTGGTTCGGAGGCAGCTGCACCTGGATGGACGGATAGACACTTATGGACAAGGATTCCTGATGCACTGCACTTTATCATTAGTGTTATGATTCAAATTCGTTTTACTGTCTCATTTAAGTGGTATATACTATTTAAAGAGCATTGTTTTAATTGTTTGTTGATAATCCGAAGACACAAACATCTCTTGTGCAACTGACCTGCCAAAAAGATCTTTAAATGTGGACTTTTCCCTAATTTGAATACCCAGGTTCACTAGAGAAAGTGTGTATCATGGTCTGAATCATGTTGTCTTCCCTCTGCTGGAGTTTAAGGTGTGACTGAAAGGTTCTTATGTTGTTAATTTAAGTGAGTCTCCAGGACATATTCTTAGATTATTTTATCAAACGTTACGAATCCATAGATACTGATTATAGTCTGTGCTGAATTTAACATTGTAAAAATGCTATTCTTGTTATATGTAATACCTGTACCTGTCAGAGTTATTAGATTATGTTTTAGTTAACCAACATACTAGCCAATATCTCATGTATCATCCAATGTCAGCTGAGTCTATCCATCATATTAAAAACATTCTAATTAACTGGTTTCTATTATTTTCTTTCCAATTACCTTTTGTATACACAGTGCATTAGCATTGGTTATTAGGCATATTTCTCTATTGACCTTAAACATGGAGTCTGGTAGGCAGTCTGGAGCCTAAAAATATTGATGAAACATTTTTAACAACATCTATTTACTACTGTGAATCTCTCTCTGGGCCTTTGGTTGTGACAGATAACACATCAACTCACCTCTGCCCCTTCCCCGGCTCCCCCGCCCCCTCGCTCCTCGCCCTCTGCCTCGCGTTGGGGGAGCTAATGGGGCCGCGTCTTCATCAGATTCCAAAGCAAGATCAACCGACATATCTACAGGCATCTCCCCACGCTCCAAACGGTGAGCTTTAGCTCTGTTGATAGCCTGAGAGATAAAGCACGTACAATTAAACAAAACAGTCAGCACAACACTTCAGGATTATGTGAAATATTTACTTACTTCTTTGATTTCATTCTCTTCCTCTGTGGTGTTCTTTTTGGAGTCTCTGAATCGCTGGATCTGAAAATGTAAAAAACAAGCACTCTTATAATGACGTACACCATCACCTCAGCCTTCCCTAATTCCTATGCAAGCCCCCCCCCTCACCTCCAGGTCTATGTCCTGCTCCGTGGTTACTCCTCTGGCTTGGAGGTGGCGCTGTGTCTTCGCTAACTGGTAGGTGATCAGCTCCTCAATGGCGTCTTTCTCATCTTTGTCCACAAACTCCTGAATTGCCTTCCCCATGCCGTGCTCGGTCAGGAGGGACAGCTGCACGTTCTGAGAAGATAAGCACACACTTTTTTTTAAAGAATACTGAGAAAAAGTAGATGAAAATTAAAGTGTTATGGCACCCTGTAAGTGTGTGAATGTAAATCCATGTGTGGCAGTACCTGTTCGGTTGCTTCAAAGTACTGTTTCACCAGATCTTCCACCCTCAGACCCTCAACTGCTGTGGTTTTTAACAGTTTGCCGTAATCAACATTGACCTCATCTGAAAAGCACAAAGATTAAAACATGTTACATTTACGAAACTCTGCATCTATGAATGCAGCATACCAGCGGTTCCCAACCGTTTTCAACTCAGGGCCCACTTAAGAATCTAAAAATGTTTGCGGCCTACATTCAACCATAAACAATACGGAAGCTAAATAAAGTTCTGATTGGTTAATTCAGAACATGTGACACGTTGTTAATCCAGTAGTACAGACCGCTGTTAAGGACTGCAATGACCGTTGCTACGGAGGATCAAGAAAGAGAAAGGAAAGAAGGTTAAAAAAAAAAAAAATTGAAAATGTTTCCACACAAATCATAATGTTTTGCAAATTATTTGGCGGCCCACTTGCAATGCCCACAGGTTGGGAGCCGCTGGTGTATACTGTAGATCCACAGCTGTGTGTGTGTCAGACCTTTGTTATCCTCCTTCTGTTCACGGCGTCTGAGAAAGTGGATGACGTCTTTTGGGTTGGCAACACGGTCCACAAACTTCTGACTGAAGCGAGAAGTGTTGAACGCCTCAAAGCCTCCGCTGTAGTCCACCTGAGGAAGGCAGTGAAGATGATGCATTTGTGTGTACTGCAATAGGAATGTGTGTGTACACTTTGCAAGAGTGTCCATCTTACCCTCAGACGAATAAGAGGTTTCTCTGGTGTGAGCGGACAACCAAGCCTCTCTCTTTCTGCTTGTTCTAACATCTCTGTGACCTACCAAATGACGGAAAGAATATTATAAGATGACACATGAGGGGAAATTAGAGTAGGAGCTGGTTCTGTACATTTGTTGGTGACTTTTAGTGTTACCTTTGCATAGCACAAGTCCTCCACCTTCTTTGTGACCTGGGGTGTGTCCGGTGTAAAGATGTCTTGGTAGTCAGCCAGCACCACGTCTTGGATGAAGAACTGACGCACCGTGTTGAGGGGGATCTTTTGCATGTTCATCTTACGACCCTTCACCCTCAGCAGCCCTATGTGTCTAGAGCCACACAAACAGAGTGTCATGGTTACTTCATTGTTCTTATACACATTGAGAGTATACTATCCATTGTGTGTGTTTCTGTGTATTCATGTGTACTTCTTGGCTGCCTCTCCAGGGGACAGAGAGGTGGCTACAGAGCTGCCAGGCTGTGTCACATAGAAGAGCTGCTGTTCATTC